GATAAAAATCCCGATTATGAAAATAATACGAGTATTGTTTAGAAATAAAAGTCTTAAATAGATTTTGGTCTGGAAAGCAGTTTAGTTTTTTTGCCTCTTTAGTGTAATAGAGAAATGGGAGTTTTCTAAGATATTCGTTTTAATCAAATCCAAGGGTAGACCAAACAGCTACAGAAATAGCAAAAGGCGCTGACAATGTTGATAGCCAATATATGTTTAGGATTATTTCGTTGAATGATAGTAAAAATATTTATCCATAACTTTAGTACTAATAATTCTTCACAAGGCCCATTGACGCTGCTTTAGACACTTTGACATTATCATCCGTAACACATTAAATGAAATCTTGCAATTGTTTATTTATAAAATTTAATGTATATACCTATTTGCTGTGTTTTTTGATGACAAATGTACTTATGAGCATTCCAACCCTTCTTTGGACTTTCAGTAGGGCGTGACTTTCTCGACGCTACTTGTTTACCGGCTGTAAAATGATGACGCTGATTCTCATTGGTTGCAACAGCGATGTAGCTGATTACTAGCCCCACCTACGAGCTTCCTGTTTTTTTTACACTCTATGACGTTTGCGCAATTTTTTGATGTATATTTCTCCTGAGAGAAAAGCAGTTGTAAATTTCAGTTCAGAATAATGTCGGTCGATGTTATGTAATTTGACAGATTTTTGTACGCAATCATTTCACACAGTCAATCATAACAGTTATAGTATTAAACAACTTTTTAAAAGAGCAAAATGATAAATCTATGTTTCGAGAAACCCAGCGGGGTTTGAAGAGATATTTGACTAGAAATAACTATTTTCAATCAGATTCAATCACTTCAGTTTCTAAAGTTTTCAACATAATCATTTAATTTTAAATTTACTTAAAGCCATATATGGCGTAACTGATCAAAAAATATATTTTTGATAAATACAAAATTAAGTAAAGAAATATAGTTAATACAATTAAATTAAAGCTTTTCATAAAATTCTGAACACGGAGAACACCTCGTTTCACCTAATAATACAATTTTATCTTCTCTATAATGTGTTATTTAGATCTTTTGTATTTTCTTCCGAGTCGGAGAAAATTCCAAAAATCCAAATTAAATTGTGATATCTTTATAACGCAACTGACTTAGATGTTGTAATTTACGGAAAAGTTCTATCTTTATATAAAGTATCATACAAATAATAAGTTCTTATAATTTTAGTCTAATAATTTTCTTTTTTATTGCAAATCGCTGCTTTTACGACGGTATAATCGCTTTTGTTAACTCGGACAATTACAAATTTTAACGCAATATTCCTACCGTAACTTAGGAGATTATGTAAACTGTGAGGAAATACACAGTGTTGGTTGACCTCTTTTAAATACAAGTAGCATCGTTTTGTTCAATTTTGTGGAAATAGAATGGAAACAAAATCCATGGATTTCGAGAATGATTGTGACATGAAAAATTAAAAGTTAGTAATGATATTTTTCTTGGATCCCAAAGAAAAGTCCTATGCACAAATTGCATGATGAAATACTACAAATTTATTCTTTTTTTTCCTTATATATATTTAGTGCATGTGTAACATTTTCAAATCCACATAGAAAAACACTAAAAGTAATAAGTACATGTAATTAACAAAGAACTCTTTACTCCGCCGGATATGTTTCATCTACTTTATTTGAATGACCAATGAAAAAATTACAAATTTTTAAACTAGATCTACATTAATCTACATTGTGTAAACCTGGATAAGTTTGAAGAAAAATTTGGGTCGAGAACTTCCCGCACACAAAATCTTAGGGGTCGGGGGTTAAGGGACTAGCGCCATTTAATTAGATCTGATTAGGGGGGGGATGCACGGAGACGTATTTACTTCTCGAGGACAGCTTCTGTCGAATTAAATTCAGCTTGCTCCCTTCACAACATCCAAAGATTAGATCAACTCTTTACAATGTCAACTTAAGCTCAAATTAACTTCGTTAGGCGAATATGCAATCTGTTGCATGAAAGAAGGACAAAGTGTCTGCCATAGTAATTTCGCCGAAGGCTTGTAGTACGGCCTCTTTCATATCTTTATGTAGAGCAGTTACATATCTATCACTCTTGATCAAAGTCTTAACTTTAAGAAAACATTTTTCTGCTGGGTTGAGATCTGGAGAATAGGTGGGTAAAAACAGAACATCTACACCTATAGTCGGTAGCCAATTTCTGAGGATTCTTTCGGCGGTATGGTGGTGAATAGGGGCATTATCTATCACCAGGGTATCCCCCAACTGGAATGCTCTCTCTCCCTCATCTGTAAAACTATTGGCTGCCTCTCCAATAAAGCCAACATACTTGAACTTATCTGATGGACCATCAATAATAGAGACATATTTAACACCTGTAATGCCAACGATCAAATTGACGGTATAGTTGGCTGTTCTGTCATATCTGGTCATTTCCACGCATCTTGTACCTTTAATGGAATGTCCGTAGTTTTGCTGACCGTCCACCAACCTGATTCCCATTTCATCCATAAACTTTAATGTGTATGGATCTTTATTCGCGACATAGTTAAGGAATCTTTGTGTATATTGGAGATTGTGAATATGAAATCTATTTTTATGAAACAGACACATTTTTTTGTATGTCATGTTGAGATCTTTTCGAATCGTGTTAGAAATCGTTCCTATTCCGACGTGCGTTATACTGTTTGAATGGCGAAGTAACTCATTTTTTATTGTTTTTAATTGCATAGAAGGTTGTTCAGTTTTCAATACTTTAATAAACTCACAGTCCTCTTCTCCTATTTTCCGTGTACTTGCATGAAATGGTTTGCGAGGAGAAACCGAGAATTTCTCATTGTATTTTTTCCAGAGATTTGACACTGTCGATTTTGACACTTTAAATTTGCGCGACAACTCAACACCTAGACCACGAGGAATGGTAGGGTTACCTTTGACAGCACCACCTTGAATTAAGTCATTTATTATTAAACTTCTCATGTCTTTTGAAAGAGCTTTCCCTTTAACATATGGTCTACCACGTTGATTTACAGTCTCCATTTCCTTCTTGTTTACCAGTAATACTGAAAATGATATGAAACTTCACAAATAATAGCATTACATGTAGCAGTAAATTATTTAATGTCATGTCCGTAAAATCAGGCATGCATATTGTCATACATGAGCTGATAGACCCTATGTTGAATATTGGGGGGTTATGAGAGAAATATTTTCATAACCATATCATATTTTAATTCAGGTAACTCTTTATTTGAACAAAAAATATTTGAGACAAGTTCTAATTAAAAGATAAATCCTCATCACTGGTATATGAAAGCAATTAAAAGCTATTAGGTCCCGATTTTCTACAAAGGATCACAACTGTTTTGATAGACAGCCCCCTTCTCTTATAATGATTTATTCAGAAAAAAATATTTAACAAAAATCGTGTATCAAAATTTTATACAGGTAGATACATGTATATTAAGGCACTAGTAACTACCTAAACAATGGCACATCGTTTCCAAAGAATCTTAACCATGCAGTAAAAACTACTTTTAATTATTTTATCTAGGTTTTTTTTCCACATCATTAAATATAGATTATTTTGGTTATAAGATGAAAATCATATAGATTCCAGCCACACAATATTTAAGTTAAACTGATAACAATTACCACGAAATCTTTTGATTATTTTGCAATAAAATGGGGGGGGGGGCAACGTGTTCGAAGACACTCTGTACAGTAAAAAGGGGAGGGTAAATGAACACTGCACATAGGTGTCAGAAACAAATTGAACAAGGGTTCAGGGGGGGGGGATTACACACCCCTCCAACTAAAAAACATTTGTAGAAGGAGCCCCATTGTGCCATATGGCTATATCTGTGCAAAAATTGACTACCCCCCCTCCCCCCTACCCCCGGTTTCGACGCCTGTGATGTATATTAGCAACTTCATTACAAATTCTAAGGATTGGGTGGAGAAGGGGGTTACAAAAATGTTAATCAGATGAGGAGTGGATTTAAGGCTTAAAGCGAATAAAATTAATTGTTTGACATTATTTTTTTTCAATTTCTGAATAAGTAAATGTAGTCAAAACACTAGTGAAGTTGAATACAGAAAATATTTTTTCTTAAAACAATAGGAAATGTATATTACCTCAACTTACTCTGCCCTCCAACTAAATGTTCTCTGATGTAAAATGCAATTTTATTGGCTGGTGTAACATTTCCCGCGAATTCAACAGACTTTGTACATGTTTGCACGGGAGATTGCATCACATTACAGTATTGGGCGCGACATGGCTGTGTCAAAGATAATTTCGGATGATTATTGTGAAATTGATTTTAAGGTACATTATGATTATTATGGAAGTGAAAGGTGTACCCTGATGAGTGTTTCACTCCGAGAACTTTTATCTCTTGGATTTATAGGTCTTGAAGGACTTATCCAAACTCAAATTAAATATTTGGGACGTATGCCGGCCGTGCGAATAATGTATAAAGATGATGAAAATGACTTTATTGATCTATTGGACACAAATTTCAACAGATTTATAAGACATGTGAGAACGTTTCAGGCACGGTGCGATTTCCCAGTTGTTAACCTTAAAGTTGTCGAAGGGTCTTCCCCAGCTGAGATAAAATCTGTCAAGTTAGATGCCGGCACCGGATCTTCATGTACACGATTGGAACAGAATTGCGAGTCTGTAGCTAGGAGAGAGCTAGATTTTCAAACCGACCAAGAGCCAAATTTTTTGGATTATTATGAATACAAATCTCCGATCATTCAATTGAGGTCATTGAAGAGGAGATTTCAGAACTGGAGACTCAAACCCAATCAGCGAGGGACCGGCTCACCGATCTTACTGACAAATATTGCTCCGTTGTTCAGGGCAGGGGAAAGCAATGCTCAAATTGCCATCTTAGGCTGGACCATAATATTCGGCAATGCAGGATAGACAAGTGCGTGACCCCGGAACAGTGCGGGGACCTAAGTAAACATCCTGATGAAAAAATGCTCGTGGATTCCGCAAGTGATTGCCTTAAAAAAGTCGAACGTGAGTTACTGAATAAACGAACAGAGTATGAAACAAGACTGAAAGCGAAAAATAGTTCAGCTATTTCATTTGCGCAAAAAGTAAGGACCCATTTGATCAACAGCAATAAAAAGAAGTATCTCATAAAAACGACAGAAGGCTATGTCCCGAAATCGGCAACTGTAAATATCGATCTCGCCAAACTTGAAAAACATTTTAAAGGAAAAGTACCGGACGACCTGGACAGGGTATCCGAGCTGTTTGAAGGGATAATCAACAAGTTCGACAATTCAAAGCGCCCATCTTGCACCCCAACACAGGGAAACCCGGCGAAACGTCTACTTGAAGAAAATACAATTTTTCCTGTGAAGTTTCTTAACATTAACACTGGTAAGAACATAATTTATGTTTTATTTCTTTTTAAATAGAATTAAAAAAAAAACAGTCATTAAATTCCATTTTACATGAATAAAAGGTCTAAAAATTGATCATTTTATAATAATCGAAAATCAAAGTCCTTTGTTATAATATATTTACGTTATTTTTTTTGTAAATATCTATAACATATTTTGACAGTTCAATTTTTTGTAGGATCTCAACATGTTCACAGTGCCAGCGCAAGTTCTGCATGTGCCCCCACTTGGGGAACTCCGAGCTGTTCACTGCCGCCGAAAAAACGTTAACTAAAAATACATTTTAAGCTCATGTTATTACCTTTGTAAAGTATATTGATAGTAATAACGCTCAATTTTGCTTTTTTGTTTTTTTTGTTTTTACTACATGTATGAAATAATACATATTCAAACAAGTTTGTGGTGTTATTTTTGTTCTACGTAAACAATGCTATGAATACTGATGAGTTTATCTGGCAACCAATGAGAATCAACGTCATCATTTGACAGCCGGTAAACAAGTTGCGTCGAGAAAGTCACGCCCTCTGAAAATCCAAAGAAGGGTTGAAATGCTCATAAGATAGTGCGTAAACATTCTAGATCACAGTGAGAATTCATTACAAAAATATAAATTTATATATTAAAATACAGGTTGATATATTGTGAAAAATCGGAATAAAATTTTAAATAATTCCCAATTCATTTTACATAAACTTAAAATATTTTATCTTATTTACTGCAAGTCGCCATCTGACGTAACGGTAGCGGGTTTGCTTTGGACTCACGGACTTGTACATGTAGTCAGAATAATCTAACTGTGTCTCGGGACAAGCCGTTAAACCGGGTCCGTATAGGACATTTATCATTTTAACGATAGATCTTTCTATCTAACGGACTTGAAGAAGTCCATCCTTACGTAGCGGATTCTAGTCCCACGGCGTGACATGGATATTGGCCTTTAATTCAGATTAAGATCCCGTGTCGCAGTATTTGCTAGCCAGAAAAATCTATCGCTGCTGAAAATTTTATTCTTTTTTAAATAAATGTCCGTTAAATAAACAAAATCATTCATGCCACCGTCTTTCAGTACTCACAGTACTTTGATTTTCTTTTCAAAGCGGCCTCGCATCGAAATCTGTCTCGGGCTTCAGAGACTGGGGTCAATGGCATCAAACTGTTTTACTGATCTATGTAACGTAGATTCCCAACTGTGGTGTGAGTGGATTCCACGGCGCTTTGGTGTCTGAGGCGCGCATGCCGAGTCACTTGTCCCCTCCTCTTACTAGCATAATGACAGTTGGCCTTAGTGCATTTGTATATTTCGATGTTTGGTTCATGGGCCTCTGTCCAGTGGGTTCTGTAAGCTTTGTAGCTCCCCGACCACGTCTCGCATCGCTCACGTCTCGCATCGCTCTACGTTACATGTCATTCCCCTCTCCTGCCACAAGGGACGGATGTCACAGTTAAGTTTCTCTATTTCCTCACGGGTGACAAAAATAATTGATATTAAAGTGATGGTGAGTAGATCTCCCTGGGTTTAATTCTTCTCCCAGTTCTTGTTTTTACAGGAGATCTTTGCTCAGGGTGCACAAAAGGACTAATTGGAAATGGTTCTGTTGTTTCGCTCAAGGTTCCATCAGAAGTTTGGTGTTCGTTATCTTCCAACCAATTAACCCTTCACGGTAGCTCAGTCGGTAGAGCGCTCGCTCCGTGATCGGGAGGTCGTGAGTTCGCATCTTGGCCGCGACCGACCTAGTCGTTAAAACGGGTAGCAACTGTTCCTTCGCCATGCGCTCGGTACTTTGAAGTGAAAGTTGCGGGTCCTTCGAATGAGACCTTAAAAACCGAGACCCCGTGTCAGCTGCAGGCGCTGGCACAATAAAGATCCCCCACTGCTCAATGGCCCTGAGTGCCGAGTAAATGTCAAAATTTGAAGCCCTTCATCGGCATACGGTGACGTCTCCATATGAGTGAAAAATTCTCAAGAGGGACGTTAAACAATATACAATCAATCAATCAAATGAAAGGTCTTGCCACAAAGAATACATATGTGAAATATGAAGTCCTAGTATCTACTGTACAAAAGTTGTGGCAAAGGTCATAGTTTGTGAAAAGTAGGCCAAACTTCAAGGTCAAGGTGAAAGGGTCAAAGTTCTTGGTATCTAAGGAAAGGCTTTCACACAAGGATTACATAGATGAAGTATGAATGCCCTAGCCCGTATCGTTCAAAAGTTATGGTCAATGTTAAAGTTTTTTCCTAAGTTCGGAAATCTCTTAGGTCAAGGTCATAAGGTCAAAGTTGTTGATATCAAATAAAAGGTCTTGCCACAAAGAATAAATATGTGAAATACAAAAGTCTTAGTATCTATTGTTCAAAAGTTTTGGCAAAGGTCATAGTTTTTTAATAGTAGGCCAACCTCCAAGGTTAAGGTGAAAGGGTCAAAGTTCTTGGTATCCAATGAAAGACCTTCACACAAGAATTACATATATGAAGTATGAAAGCCCTAGCCCGTACAATTCAAAAGTTATGGTCAATGTTGAAGTTTTTTCATAAGTTCGGAAATCTCAGAGGTCAAGGAGATCTCCGAGGTCAAAAGGTCAAAGTTGTTGGTATCAAGTGAAGGGTCTTCTCACAAAAAACATTTATGTGAAATATAAAAAACCTTGTATCGACGATTCAAAAGTTGGCCAAAGTAAAAGTATGAAATTTTTTGTGTAAAAGTGGGTCAAACGTCAAGGTCAAAAGATCAAATTCGGTGGTGCCCAAAGAAAGGTCTTATTACAAGGAATACATATGTGAAATATGAAAGTCAGAGCTCCACTAAATCAAAAGTTATGGGCAAGGTTAAAGTTGTTGTGACGGACGGACAGACTGATGGACAGACGAATGAGATTTAATGTCCCCTCGCTTTCTCGAAAGCGGGGGACAAAAATAAAGAAACACACACACACACATACGCACCCTCCATCTTTCTTAAAGATCTACTAAATGTGATTTTTTTTATTTCTATTTTTTTTAATATATGTTTTAAAACATTAAACGGATAAAATATGAATGATTTCTCCAATTGTCCATTAAAAGTTACGTTTAGAAATAATAAATTGTATAGTAGAACTAAAGAAATTTGAAATCTAACCACTCCCACAAAAACGGAAGGAGGGGGGTATATTTGTCTTTCAAACAAAAGTCCTTTCATGTCATAATATACCAATTTTTTTTTCGTATTAGCTCCTTTTCTCCAATCGGCGTCTTGTAACCGAGCGAGGATTTAATGCATTTAAAAGCAGATATAATACTATTGTTATACACTTTTAAATAAGTATACTTCCCTTAATCATTTCTTAGTTAAAACAAACAAAACAAACAACCAAAAAAAAAAAACAACAACAACAATAACAACACACATACTTTTTTTATCTCATAAATTTTATCCAATTCTTTTATTTATAGTTCTCTTCTTTTCCCATTTTTTTCTTTGCTTGGACTTGATTTGCTTTGGAGTATTTTTATACATGTTGTATATCTGGGTTTTTTTTCTTACCTATCAGGGAATAAATCTCCTCTCTTTTATATTCCTGACTGTGCGTTTTTTCGTGATTATCCATACTCTCATAATCTCCGAATATTAAATGACAATATCCACATTGATACCTTTTGGGGGGTGGGGGGTTTAGATGAAAATGTTACGTTCTTACTGATCTGAGGGTTGTTATTAGACTACTCAAAAAATAAATATGTAAATATTTTTATACGATTTTCAGTGATGTTATTTTTCACTGACAAATTCTATTGGTTGTCAGCTATCATCCGTAAACAAGAGTCTGTTACCAAGAGAGATTTCGAAATAGTCTTTTTTTTAAATACATATACAGAGTATAATAGACTCACGAAATCAATAGAATAAATAACAGTCGCCATTTGAATTAAAGAATACAATTTTAATTTCTTTTCTTTCTAAATTTAATCTGATAATCCATTGTTTAATATAATCGAAATATTCAAAAAAAAAAAAAAAAAAAAAAATAATAAAAATAAAATAAGTATATCAATTTTTCATTGAGGTCTATTTTTTATTCAATGGTTATAGGATCCTTCGTACACTTTCTTAGTTTGTTTTTTTTTTATTTCTTTTTTTTCTAAATTTAAACTGATAAGCCATTGTTTAATATAATCGACATATTCAAAAAAAAGAAAAATAAAAACAAAATAAGTATATCAATTTTTCATTGAGGTCTATTTTTTATTCAATGGTTATAGGATCCTTCGTACACTTTCTTAGTGTGTGTTTTTTTTTTTTAAAATAAATTGGTTATAACCTGTCAAATATCAGTAAAAATTATTCTCTTTTTTTTCAAGTTATCATCCATGAATTAAAATTATAAAGTTAATGTATATAAGACAGATTATAACATATTTATTTTATTTACTTTAGTGTAAATCAGAATCGGTCCACTATATACAAAAGATTTCCCATATTACTTGATCACATCAAGTAACAACACTTTATTTTGTTATTTCTTGTTTCATTTCATTTTTCTTTGTCATAATATTAACGTAGATTCATTTCATCAGTCTCCTCATTCATTTTACAACCATTCTTTCATGAAGCCTTTTTCCAACTTCACATATAGTTTTAATAATAACACAAACAAAATATTATCATTTTGAGTTCAACATTTTTATTCTTTTCCGCGATATTACAATGAAAACGCGATTCTTTTCTTCTTTCTACAAAATAAAAAAAAAGACATATAGTACACAATTGAATATATGTATGTGTGTGTGTTTGTATGTGTAAGAGTGGGTGTGTGTGTGTGTGTGTGTGAGAGAAAGAGAGAGGATGTGTATGTATATATGTGACGGAGTGTGTGGGTGAGAGAGAGAGACAGAAAGAGAGAGAGAGAGAGAGACTCACATTCATTTTTCTTTTTCATTTTTCTCCTCATTTTTTTCCATCACTTCTACAGTCATTGACTCGTTTCTAAAATGTTTTTTAAAGTAATGTTTACTGTATTTGAGTAGTTAAGTCAGTAGCTGAGAGAGAGAGAGAGAGAGAGATTTGCTTACTGTTCCTCCTCAAAGGTGCTATCGTTCAGAAGTTGCACCAAACTATCCGAACTATAAAATAATAATAACATTTTCTCAATACCGTCAGACTACATATAATTTCTATAAGATTATTACGCTTGACGTTAAAAAAAGAAAACCTACTCTTCTACGCTTATGATCTCCATCACAAGACGGCTGAAAATAAATCATTACAATAATCAGTAAATGAAAGATAAAGTAAATCCATATGTATATATATTTAATAAAGAAATAAACGTTTAAGAAAATTATGTATTAGTTTAAAGGAATCCCAATAATTTTTTTTTATAAGAAAAGTATAAAATACTAACGGCGGACGTCGTGGTGCGTTCGGCGGTCTAAAAGGAAAAAAAAGATATCTATTTTTCTGATCTAACTATTTATCTATCTGACTATATTTTAATAATACTTTTGTGATCCTTTTTTCTGCGTAATTTTATTTTTTTCTAAAATAAAAAAAAGGGATTAGAAATACTCGTGTAATATACTAACCCATTTCTGTTGGACTTTTCCCCACCGGACTAATAAAAAATATTTAAAACAAAACTAATTTTATCCCCCTTTATTCTCTTTAAGTACGTAAAAAATAAATAAAGATGAGGAAATTATTAAAGTAAGGATTAAATTAATACACTCACGAATTATCAGGCGTACTGAAATAAAATTTCAGACTAAATGTAAAAAAAAATTGATAAATTATAAAAATTAATAAAGTGTGAGTACAAAAAAAACCCACTTAATTTCTTCACACGTAATTATATAATCTCATTACCTGAAAAACGTTTTCCTCTTATGTAAACGTAAGGCCATTCTAAAAAAAAATTATTCACATCTAAAGTAAATGATTCATACTGATTTAATTTGAAATTAAAATAAAAAATAAGCAGAAAAACGGTAACAAAACCAAAAAAAAAAAAAAAAAAAAAAAAAATAATAATAACTCACGGACACTCCATAGATTTAATATCCTCCATGATATAATTCAGGAGTTTCAAAATCTCCTCTCTTATTTCACAAGTGCAACTTAAAAAAAAGAAAATAATAAAATAGTTTTCTTTAAAAAAAGAAAAACAATCGTTTTAATGAAAATACACTTGTTTGTATGATGCCATCCTGATTGGAACCAGAGTGAAGTTCTGAGGCGTTTCAATCAGTTTTTATAAGAAAAAAAAATAACCATGTGATTCTTTTCATTGTTTGGATAGATATTTTAAAAATAACTTTTCATACAATAACTATAGCAAGAGGGTGTAACGACTTTTGAAATCGTCACCTTCTAATGAGATCACGGTAACCTGACATATTTTTCACATTCATACGGGTCGGTACGATGATATTTCCAGATTATCTCATTAATGATGTCAAACTTAATCAGTTAAAGCAAATTTAATCATGTCATTTTACGACAGTATCAGATTTTTCCATTCATTTCAACCCATTTCTATTTCACTCGCTTATCTGATACAAACGTACTTAAATTATTCATATTTTCTTTCCTTTTTTTCCTTTGAAATAATTTTACTGATGATCTTGATGTAAAGGAAATTGTCATGTTGGACTACACCAACGAAAGTCTTCAATGTCCAGGTATATGTACATTCTTTATTTCTCGTCTCCCTTTTTTCGGAAAATATTACTAAAATCAAGTAAAACTAATGCATTCCTTAAATACCCCCCTTTCAAAAATAGAGCCTGACTGTAATCGTAACTACTCGGTCATTTCCGTGAACGATAAATAACTAATGGCCGAGTAGTTACGAATGAGTCTAGCTGATGTAATCATATATACTTGCCGTGGGAAAACTCCGCCCACTGTCAGTTCAAGCCAATCAAATCCCACTGTGGGACGTGGAGGCCGATCCTTCGAATGAGACAGTATAAACCGAGGTCCCGTGTCGCAGTAGGTGATGGCACGAAAAAGATCCCTCACTGCTCAAAAGGCCCTGAGTGTCGAGCATAGGACGAAATTTGTAGCCCTCCACCGGCAAGTGGTGGCATCTCCATATGAGTGAAAAATTCTCGAGAGGGAAGTTAAACAACATACAATCAATCAATCAAGCCAATCAAAACCACAAGATTTTAGCTAAGGTTGCAAAATTATAGATCTTTGATCTGATTTTTCCAAGGAAAAGAGACGTCTCCATATCGGTGAAATATTCTGGAGAGGGACGTTAAACAATATACAATCAATCAATCAATCCAAGGAAAAGACACAATGGCTTGCGACTTTCTTGCAAACAAACCTGTCTGTCCTGGTATGTTACCTATATTCAATATTTCACTTATTCAGTAAATTAATTACATTCGCAGTTTAAGGTGAAAGGCAGTTGGGATACTTTTACGATTTGTAGATCTCTAAATTTCTTATTTTCTCTTTATTAGTTTAATTTTATTTTTATTTTTGTTCACTGTTGACTTGCATTTTTCATTTGACTCTAGATTTCAACACTTCGCTTCGTCACAACGTGACCGACCTCATGACAACAGGGACTACTTTGTTTTCCGTCAACACTCACAAGTCTGGACCTTGCAAATTATAATGTGCAACGGTCCCGGCCGTATTCTCTATATACAGTGGAGCCTCATTTGTTCCGACACTTTGGTTTCTAATTGATTTGTCCGGATATTTAAAGCGTCCAGATACCTAAATCACCAGTCAACAAAACCTTATAACATTTAAAAAATCCATCCCGATCAGAAATCGTCCAGATACTGAAGCATCCGGATATCTGGGCTCCGGATAGCTGAAGCAGTGAATTTACCGGTCTACTAAACACACCTGTTGTCGTAACTTAACACAGTCTCGCCAGTGGTAATTAATTAAAACCTTCGAAACCCTGGCGTATCTTAATTAATCCCAAGCTAATGAGGGTAATGTATGACACATGATAGCTTGGGTGGTTGGTGTCGCTGATGTTGAAAAAGGAAGAGAGAGTAAAGCGGCCATTGCGAAAAAATGTGAGACCCCCCCCCCCAACATCCTATCAACATGGATAAAGAATGCCGAGATCAAAGAGGCCTACAAACAGAGAGCATTTGGGCCACAGGGGAAGATGATGAGAACGGCGACATACAAAGATAAAGTCCAAGCAGTTCTACAAAGGTTCAAGACAGCCAGAGACCAGAACATTCCAGTGTCCGGGCCCCTTCTCATCGCTAAAGCACAGGAGTTTGCTTCTCAGCTTGGCGATGAGTTCAAGTGTACACTGGGTGGCTCGAGTTCTACAAAGAGCGCCATAACATAACATTTAAACGTGTGTGCGGCGATTCAAAGGCCGTAAATGAGGACACTGATCAAATGACAGAGTGGTCTTCCACTCTTCAGACCCTTTTAGGCGAATACAGCCACAGTGACATCTTCAATGCTGATGAAACTGGACTGTTTTTTCGTTTACTCCCCGAGAAAACTTTTGAGTTTAAAGGGGTAGATTGCCATGGTGGCAAGAACAACAAAGGGCGTTTCACTGTCATGGTTTGCGCCCTTATGGCAGGTCCATATTTGTACATTATCACAAACCGATGACGTCATATGTGTACATCAAGTAATTAGGTCGGAATTGATCATGTGTAAAGAGAATTTGGCTCAGACGACATGTACAAAGATAAGTAAATGGAGTTTAAAAGGAAATACAGGTAACTCTCGAAACCTCGAAGTCCGCGGGACCGATGGAAAACTTTGAGAGATCAAGAGTTCGAGTTTTCAAGAGTCCGGATTTTTCCAGGTTTGTTTGACGGGTTTTAAAATTAGTAATACCGGATGTAATGATTTTCATGCAGTTCTAACCTTTTACACGTGGATTTTACAAAACAACGATATGTTTTCGTATTGAAAGTGAATATTTATTAGACCGAGTAAAGCAAAAAATGTAGATCGTCAGTTCGTGTTTTTTTTTTTATTATTTTTTTTTTATTATACGGATATCATTCTACTCATTTCGTTATATGAAAACGGCATAGACCAGCGTTGCGCGTGGTACATAGCATTGCGACTTTTCCAAACATGTGCATTGAACGAAATTCTGTATGTATTTGTCCAAAAAGTCGTCATATTGACAGCAAGGCTGTTTCTGAATTTTCTTTTTTCGTTAAACTTTGAAACGATTCAAAATTAGAAAATTAGTTCATTGTAATTGTTTCGTCTCGTAATCTGCAATTACAATTTCTCAGCGACACTACGTTTCTGAATTATCATAATACAGACGATGATAATTATTTGGATAGCATATAGACACCATGATATTAATTACAAATCAGTTATCCCCTTGCAGAATAAGTGTCACCTAAATAAACATCCCGTTTCACGAGACCCGCGTCTTCTGCCTGCGGTCATTGAATGGCCAGGTAAAGTTGCTAATTATGTAACTTTGTATACACAAAGCCACTTCGAGGTATCAAGGGTGAATTTCAATAGAATATGTATAGCGGGACTGAAATTTTACTTCGAGAGATCAAGGGTTTCGAGAGATCAAGAGTTCGAGAAATCAAGAGTAAATTTGCTTAGTTATATAGGGAAAAAATTCGGGACCGGGGACTCACTTAGAGCGATCAAGAACTTCGAGAGATCGAAGTTCGAGCCATCAAGAGTTACCTGTATCATTGTAGCGCCGACCGAGCGGCCGTATTCACATTTGGTCCTCAGTCTTTAATTTCTCTATTTGGTAGCGTTAATTTCTCCTCATATTTTGAAATCAGACTCAAGTTCGTCTATTCTACAGTTTATTAACACAACACATCACAAATATAAACATCCAGGAAAAATAATTCACAGTATATTAAATCCAAGTAAACAATCACATATAAATCCAAATCAAAGGCAAAGTTAATAATCCATGTAAAAGCTATATCGCTACATATCAGTTATATCGTCTTTATATCCTATCTTTCTATATATCTAATTCTAACATTCAGTCGCGCTATATATACTTTAGATCCGCTCCTGACGATCAGGAGAACATTATAAGATCCTTAAGATCAGGAGTCAATACACAGGTAATTACGATCAGCAGGGGGTTAGATAAGAGGGGCGATTAATATACAGATAAGATTTATAGAATAAGTGTAGATAATGTGTGAACAATTAATTAATGAAAAATGATATTAAAGATAAGATATTCTAAATCGTTACAACTCCCCCTGCCTTAAGATTTGACTCCGTTCAAATTTAATGAAAAGTAGCGCGTAATTGATATAAAACTAATAACATATATACATTATATGAATAATACGCAAATAAAAAAAATTACATGTTATACTGAGTATGCTGACATTAAACGTAGAGTTAAAACAGGGTACATTAAAAGTAATATTTACATATTTTCATACATATTCATATCAATATTTTGTTAAATACATAAAAACACATAGAAAAAGCAAACAAACAAATGTCTCTTATAATGTTTCAGCAACCCGAACCGATGGCCACGAAAACTGAACGGACACTTCGTTGAGAATGTCAAGGGCAATGGCTCCTACATCTACTTCATTTAAGTTGACATTTTCGGAGTGGC